TCGCAGCCCCTCCTCCCCCCGCGGCAGCAGCGCGCCCGCGTTGGCCTGGATGGCGCTGAGCCACGACTGCGCCGTGGCCTCGTCCTTCGCCCGCAGGAAGAGGGCAACGCGTCCATCCGCCGAGCACACCTCCAGGTACCTGCAGGGACACGGCCTCGCTGGGTCCCCGTCGGCCCTCAGCGCCACAGGGCACCGCGGTGGCATCACCACCCCTCGGCACCGTGCCCTGACCTGTGCTCCGAGTCGGCAGGGAGGCACTTGCGGGACACGTAGCACATCTTCAGAGGCACGGTCCTGCCCTCCCGGAGCTCCCGAGGGGGTAGCAGGGGGGACGATCGCTTCTGCAGGGCGGCGGGAGAGGGGTCCCAGCTGACCGTTGCTCCCGCCGAGGAGTTCTTGAAGTAGGGGGAGATCTCCTTCATGTACTTCACTGGAAGAGAGGCAGCACCTGGCTGAGGGCACAGCACAGACTGTGGTGGCCTCATCCTGCCCACCAGCACCCATCTGCCCCCCTGAGACCCCTTGAACCCTCCCTGCACCAAAGCTGGTACCGCCTTTGCTACCTCCCTGGAGCCATCACCCATAGGTGCTGCAGCGGGTCCTCTGCTCAGCATCCCTGTGGGTGCAGGGAGGGGATGGCACCAGTGGGCAAGGTTGTACCAGAGGGTGACATGACCCCTGTGATCCTCCCCATCCCTCTGCCCCCACCATCCCAGCCTGGGGAGCTCCCTGGGAGGGATAAAAATGGACTTTTCCTCCTTTTAACTCAGATCAGTTCACAGATGCAAGTCTGAGCAGGTCCCCGGGGCAGCACACGGAGGCAGGGGGTGGGGAACGGGCAGGAGTCCCAGGCCAAAATTACACAGTCCAAACTGTGCTGGTACAGCCGGTCCCATCGCCAACTGGGAACAACAGCTCTCAAATACCATGGCTCGGCCCCAGTAAAAGCCTGGGACTGCGTGCTCGCAGCTCCCAGAGCCCTGCCCCACCAATTACAAACCAGGGACAAGAAACCAGCTTTCAGTCCCCAGTGAGTCTGGCTCCGGAGTCACAGCCCCCAGAGCCGCGCTGGGACGACGGCCGGCTCTCGAGACGTAGGGGAAGGGGGAGATGAAAGTCACCACGAATTGATGGGGGTCCGTAGCTACGTCCTGAAAATTAGACGGAACCAGCCAAAAAGACTTTGACTGAGCAGGAGAGGATGCCCTGCACACCACAGCCTGCTGGGACCAGTCATAGTCCTGCCCTGGGGGCAGCGTGGGACCAGCTGGTGGCTTTGGGAAAGGGCTTCCCTTTGGTGGCCCTTGGGGAAAGGGCCGTGGGACAGATGTGTGCCTACTGCCACGTCAGCAGCCATCACCGCTGGTTCCACTCCAGGTCCAAGCCAGTGGGCACGGGTGGCAGGAGGGGGACCTGAGCTTGGCTTTGCAGCCAGCTCTTGGAGGTGACTGGTTGGTGAACCAGCTCCATGGCTGCAGCAAAGCCACGGCAGCCTGACTTTTTGCCAGAAAAAAGCCCTTCTCCCATCAGAAGAGCCTACCATCCCCATCCGTCACCTGCCCACCACCCCCTGTCTTCCCCTTCGTTCCTGTCCCAGCGAGCTCCCCGCAACCTCTGAATCCTGAAATCCCACACGGTGGGGCACGGCGGGGAGGCAGAGCCCCGCGGGGTGTCCCGCTCTGCCCAGCCCCAGCAGGACACAGCTATAAATGGCCACGCCGCCACCATGGCACGTGGGTCGGGTTACCCCGTGGTGGCCAGGGCCAAGGAGGTGGCGTGGGGCCACCAGCCTCGTGCCCTGCACCTCCCGTTATAAATAGCCGCAGTGTTGCCGCTGGCATTTGAGCCAGGCTGGATCTTACCCCGAGTTATTAATCTTGGCAGTGAGGACCAGCCATTATCCCAGTGCCTGGGAACTAATTGGAGTTCAGAAAGATAATCCGCCGAAACCCGAGCAGCGTCCCTGCGCCAGCCCGTGGCTTCCCGGGCACGCGGAGGACGTCACTGGCATTAGCCGTGCGATGGTGGGGTCACGTCCCGATGGAGCAGAGGAGACGAGCAGTGCCTGGCCCAGCACAGGGCACGGAGAATTAGGCAATAGCCAGTGCGTGTGCCTCTCTGGCACAGGATTTAAGGAGGATTTAAGGCTGGTGACGAAGCGCTGACGGGTCCCCGAAGCATGGGGGGATCCCGAGCTGGCACAGGGTGCCAGGATGCAATGGGGGCTGCGGTGCTCCCCCCAGGCTGTGCACCTAGGGCTGGGCCTGGGGTTTTCTCAGCACGAGCTTTATAGCGGATCGACTCACACTTCCACCAGTCCCTTCACTGCAGCAGCATCACCTGATATTGAATGGATTAATTAATGACACCCATCTCATTAAAGCAAACAACTCAGACGATATCATGCATCATCTGGTAACTGTCATTACATCTACTAGTAACTGTCATTCTTGCACTGGTGTTTTAGTGGTTTTCTAATTAACACCTCACAGTGCTGGGGCTCCCAGGCTGGCTGCCCTCTTCCCATCAGCCAGCACCCCTCCAAAAATCGCTCGGCAAAAATACTCCACCTCCAGCAGGCAAAGAGCCCGGTCAGTGGCTGCCAGGCAGAGCCCCACGGTGCCCAGAGCCCCACGGTGCCTCCACGCAGGCTCTCTGCTCCCCTGGGGAGACAACCTGGACTACTGAGCATCTCCAGCACGGAGCAGAGGGGACACATAGCACCTCCGGCCGCTCAGGGTTTTGCCCTGAGTAATTTTAGGGTTTGAGGGAACAGCAAAAGTCTCTGGGGAGGCCATGAGTGAGAAGCTGCTCGTGGCATCACCAGAGCATCGCGTGCACCCCAGACCCTGCAGCAAGCTGCATCAGGGACATGTTTAACCGAAGGTCCTAGGTCTGCCCTGCTCTTCTGTCTCCATTGCAGTTGCTTTTTTTTCTCCTCAGCACTCCAGAAAGGAGCAAAACCATCAAAATCCCTTGGTTTTACGCCTTGGGTAACAGATCCTCCCCCTCCACCAGCCCATCCCTCTCCAGGATGAGGAACAAGCCCCAGCTGAGCATTGCTGCCACGACCTGCCCCATGCACGCGCTCGTGGCTCAGCACCGCCCGAAGCCAAGCTCCTCACCCTGGCACGCTTTGCCGAGGAGCCACAAACCTTCCTCCAGGCAGGAAAGCAGCCCCAGCCACAGGGACACTCAGCTTGAGAGCACCCACCCGCTGCCCGGGCCACCAGCCGGGCACTGCAACGCTCTGCTTTAGCCCAGGGATCACAGCACGGATTCACGGAGGAGAGGTTTATGCCTGCGCTGCCAGTAAGGGGTAGGATGGGTCCCACTGCTCCCCTCACCCCAAGAGTCTTCCAGCAGCATCCGTATGGTGCTGTGGGTCAAAAAGGTCCAACCCTACAGGTGGCCATCACATCAGGAAGGCTTCCCGAGAGGTCCTGCAGATCCAGCGCTGGCCCTAAGGAGACACTAAGCCCATCTCCAGCTGGTCCTGCTCTGCCTCAGGACTAATGATGCAAAATTAACACGTGAAATTGGAGGGGGGTGTCAGCAAACACACATCCCAAAGAGACACTCTGAAGCGACCTGTAAACTTCAAGCCGATGCTGTGCTGTGCTTCCAAAACGCCCAACGCAGGGGCTGCCACAGCCGCCCTGTCCAGCATCCCACCCAGGGACCATCCCCTGCCCCTGGCTCCGAGCACAAACGAGGCAGCAGCTGCTGGTCCCAGCTGCCTCCACTCAAGGTCTACCTAGAAGGGTCTGCTCCAGGGAGGAAAATGCCAGGGGATAGGTGCTGCAGGGCAGGGGTGCCACTGCTGCCCCTCCTGCCCCAGCCCTCAGTGCCAAGTGCCATGCTCCAGCTCTTTCCTAAATACTCACCTGTGCTCCTGTGCTGCACGGCCAGCAGTGACTGATGGGCTGAGCGATCTCAGGGAGACCATGGGACAACTCTCCATGTATCCATAGGAGGAGAAACATCCCCAGAAAACTCCCCAGGGAAAGCAAAGCTTCAGGGCGGCAAGGGGTGGAGGAGGATGCAGACCCTCATCGTCCCTCTGCATCATCCTAGGGCAGGTCCAAAGCCTCTGCTGCTTTTGGTTCCTTACCACGCGTAAACCATGACAGCACCCACAGCGTTGCCAAGGCAAAGCCCAGCTGCTCGGACCCTGAGGACCATCACATCTGCCAAGAGACGTTCACTTCAGTGTCCCACAAAGGGCTGGAGGCCACCTCAGGGCTTTGCCTCCCAAAGCCCTTCTGAGCCCAGATGGGTGGCAGTGACAGGGAACTGCACAAATCCTGGCTGCCACCGCCCGAAACCCCCCTTCCACTCCGCGTCGGGTGTTATTTACCCCAGGGCCACTGAAATTTTGTGGGTATTTCACATTTCACACCACGCACATCTCCACCCTCTGCGACTTCCTGGGCTTCCCACGGTTAGGGAAGCCGGGCATCCCCAGCACGACACTCTCCTGGCACCTCTTTGATTTTCTGAATTTCAGGCTTCCAAGTTATTCCTTGGCTGAGCAGGTCCCAGAGAGCTGTGACAGCCCCAGGGTCTCGCCTGCAGCCAACAAGCCCTGGGCTACCATGGAGGGGAGATGCCTGCAGCTGCCCCAGCTCCTCCTCCCCACTGCTCTCGGTTCTCTCCCCATGCCAATACGGCACAGGGGCCTCGCTGGGAAACCCACTCTTGGCATCGAAGCCCTTCCCAGGGCAGCTGCAAGGATGTTTATCAGCCTTTCCCCCACTGTGGAGGGTCTCTGGATACCAGGCAACGAAAAAAAAAAGGGGGGGGGAAATAAGGTAAGGAAGAGCAACTCTCCCCAGAGTAACAATGTAATATAAATACAGTCAAACTCCTCCTGCAAATATCAAGAGAGTCATTTGGCACATCCCAAAAAAAATCTTGGCAGGACACACCGAGAGGTATCTGCGTGTCCTCATGCCCGGCCAGCAACGACGCGCAGGAGCCTGAAGCCGAGCTGGGCAGCCTGGGGTGGGATCCGGCACGTGGAGCCGCAGCTGATAGTTGGAATAAGACACGGCATCTCCCAGCCCTGCCAGTTTGGAGGGCCTCACCCCAACCCACCATCCCGGCCCACGGATGCAGTAACCATAAGGGATGTCAGAGTCGCCCCGGGCAGCGCGCGGGGACCAGAAAGTGCCTGCTTGATGTTAAGGCCATCGTGTCGCTTTTCACCGAGCCCTGGATGGAGCCGCAGCTGATAGTTGGAATAAGACACGGCATCTCCCAGCCCTGCCAGTTTGGAGGGCCTCACCCCAACCCACCATCCCGGCCCACGGATGCAGTAACCATAAGGGATGTCAGAGTCGCCCCGGGCAGCGCGCGGGGACCAGAAAGTGCCTGCTTGATGTTAAGGCCATCGTGTCGCTTTTCACCGAGCCCTGGAGCGAGCCCGAGCAGGCGTG